TTGACATTCCAAATGTAGGTAGTACAGCATTTACTGTCTTAGCCAGTGTTTTATAAAAGACAATCTCAAACAGTCTGCCAGGAATTTCTACCACAAAGCTTGTTGAGTAAACAGAGGTAATGAAGCCTTCATGGTCATTAGTTACGAGAAGGTCTCTTTTGAAGTCAATTTAAGGAAAAGATTTCACCTCGTTACTGCTTGTAGTGCAATCACAACCTTGTTATTCCCCCTTCCATTTACAATCTTGCTGCAAATAGAAAGCAGAGGAAATTCTCATTCTCCTAAAACTTAAATTGCTACAATTTGCAGTTTTAGACTATCGCGGAAGCTGACACATTGCTCTTGTAGCTGCCGGTTACTATAGAAACAAGACATTATTAGGTCTGGCCATGTTTCTCTTAGACTGGACAGAGGCATGGAGGAGAATTATAGAGGGTACCTTCCCTGATACGAAAAGCTCAGGACGTACGATTGCTTATTACATTCTGTTACATCCCTTTGTTTATTTTAAAATGGCTAATATTGACTTAAAATAACATGTAGGGAGTACAGAATGAGTGCTCCAAATAGACTTACGTTAACTTTGCTGGTTTAAGAATGTAGCCTCATAGTTATAACCAGTCCTCCATAATTAAAAACTGAAAGAACTGTGGATGCTGTACATCTGGAACAAAAACAAGTTGCATTGGAAAACTCAGCAGGTCTGGTAGCATCTGTGAAGAAAAATTCAGAGTTAATGTTTCGGGTCCGGTGACCCTTCCTCAGAACAGATCCGAAATGTTAACTCTGATTTTTTCTTCACAGATGCTATCAGGCCTGCTGAGCTTTTCCAGCAACTTCTGTTTTTGTTCCTCCCTAATTAAAATCTACAGACACTCTCTAGTTGGCAGAATCTTTGACGAAGATCACCATTCTTAGAAATCAAGGTAATAACAATTTTAAGACGGAAGAATATTTTCTTTAAAACATTAAATAAATGCATTCTTATTGTTTCTGTCAATTGACGTAAATTAATTATTTAATGACATTCTAGAATACTAAGGCTAACTGATTGAATCAAACATACAGGGTGAAATATTGTCAAAACTTAACATCTGACTGTATTCAAATGCTATAGATTCTGTTGGATTCAGTTTCTTAGCTTTTGGTAAGATTTATTTCACGAAACCGTTTAAAAGATGATTGCACATTTGTGATATTGAAAGGTTGAGTGTTTGGTCGGACAGTTTAATTTCCCAATATATGCTGTACATCTTTATGAGTGTGTCACTTGATGTCAATGCCAAATCAGTATTCTCCATTTGTTTCCTATGTATTTGGCACATATTCCCTGACTGTAGAAAACATGAAGTCTGATTATCGACCTATTATCGGGCTAATATTTCTTTCAAATTATAAATTCCTGTAGACAGGAAGAATAGCCCAACAGAATATCATGAACTGAATTTTATCACAGAGTTGGAAGTGGTTTTAGATGCAGAGGGAGAGGGGGCTGGGGACATTGAGATATTTGCTTGAGTCAGGTTGTCATTGGAATTGGCAATGTGTTCCATGGAGGCAAGTAGCCAATTAAAACCAATTAATATCCCACTTGACATTGTCAAAAACCACTGGCCTTTCTCCAGTGTGAGACTGGTTTTTCAACTGAGTCCAGAGGTCAGGAGCTACTTAAGGATCCGTATTAACAGCAGCCCAGAGGAACTGAGGTGCCTCTCGACAAACTGGTGCAATGACCTTAAAGCCATAAGGTGCAGGACCAGAAGGAGGCCATTCAGCCCATCGAGTCTGCTCAGCTGGTCAATGAGATCATGGCTGATCTGATAATCCTCAATCCACTTTCCTAACTTTTCCCCATAACCCTTAATTCCATCACTGATTAAATATCTATCTATCTCAGCTTTGAATATAACGACCCAGTCTAGATAGCCCTCTGTAGTAAAGAATTCCACAGATTCATTCCTCTCTGAGAAGAAATTCCTCTTCATCTCTGTCTTAAATGTGCGACCCTTATTCTGAGATTATGTCCATGATTCCTTGTCTGCCATTAGGGGAAACAACCTTTTCTCATCTACATAAAAAAAAAGCAAAAGATCTGCAGATGCCATAAATCAGAAACAAAAACAAAAATTGCTGGAAAAGCTCAGCAGGTCTGGCAGCATTTGTGGAGAGAGAGCAGAGTTAATGTTTTGAGTTGAGTGACCCTTCCTCAGAATTCCTGAGTTATGAAGGGTCACTGGTCCTGAAACGTTAACTCTGATTTCTGTCCACAGATGCTGCCAGACGTGCTGAGCTTTTCCAGCAATTCCTGATCTTGTTTCTTCACCCACCGTGCCAAGTCCACTAAGGATCTTGTATGTTCCAACGAGGTCACTTCTGACTGAGCCACAAGTAAGAAAAGACCACAAGCCTGGCCAAAACTAATCCTGTGGTGGGGTTCTCTGGCTGGACTGTTGACCCAAACAACCTTCTTTAATTGTAAGTTTCCAGGAAATTTCTCCTCAGTGCTCATCCGCCTGCATGACATTCGGCCCAAACAGTGCCGGGCCTGTACTGTTCACTGTAACTTTAGGCTTCCCACTGTTTGAACCCACTTAGCCAAACTTGATTGGACAGAGAACACCATGCTGGCCAATGAGGAGCCTGTCTGACATCAGTATGGGATTGGCACTCAAATACCTACACCTTACCTACACAAATAACCTACAGCAAAATTCTACCCACAGCACATTCTGCAGTGGTTCAAAAAGGAAGCAATACCCTGCTCAGTGGTGCCCAGTTTGGGATCTGCCAGGGCCACTCAGCTCCCAACCTCATTACAGCCTTGGTTCAAACACAGACAAAACAGCTGAATTCCAGAGGTGAGGTGAGAGTGACAACCCTTGACATCAAGGCTGCATTCAACTGACTGTGGCATCAAGGACCCCGAGCAAAACTGGAATCAATGGGTATCTGGGGGCAAACTCTCTGCTGGTTGCAGTCATGTCTAGCACATAGGAAGAGGGTTGCATTGTTAGAGGTCAGTCATCTCAGCTCCAGGACATCTCTGCAGGAGTTCCTCAGGGTAGTGTCCTGGGCCCAAACATCTTCAGCTACTTAATCGATGACCTTCCGGCCATCATAATGTCAGAAGTGGGGATGTTTGCTAATGATTACACAATGTTCAGCACGATTTATGTCTCCTCAGTTACTGAAAAGGTCCATTTTAAAATGCAACAAGATCAGACAATGTCGAGGCTTGGCTTGACAAGTGGCAAGTACTATTTGTGCCACACAAATGCCAAGCAATGACCATCTCCAATGAGACACAATATAATCACCACTCCTTTGACATTCAGTGGTAGTACTACCACTAAATCCCCTGCTATCAACAACCTTAGGGTTACCATTGACCAGAAATTTACTGGACTCATCACATAAACACAGTGCTACAAGAACAGGTCAGAGGCTAGCAATACTGTCGCAAGTAACTAACCTTCTCACTTCCCAAAGCCTGTTCATTTACAGGGCAAAAGTCAGGAGTGTGATGGAATACTCCCTGATTGCCTGGATGGGTGCAGCTCCAACAACTCAAGAAGCTTGACACCATCCAGGGGAAAGCAGCCCACTGGGTTAGTACTACGTTCACAAATATCTTCTCCCTCCACCACTGATGCTTAGTAGCGGCAGTGTGTACCATCGACAAGATTTACTGCAGAAATTCATCAAAGATCCTCAGACAGCACCTTCCAAACTCTTGACCACTTCCATCTAGAAGGACATGGGCAGCAGATACATCCATCTGCAAGTTCCCCTCCAAGCCACTCACCATCCTGACTTGCAAATATATCACCGTTTCTTCACTATTGCTGGGTCAAAATTCTGGAATTGCATCCCTAAGGGTATTGTGGGTCTACCTACTGCATGAGGGCTGCAGTGGTTCAAGAAGGCAGCTCGTCACCACCTTCTCAAGGGCAACTGGGGACGGGCAATAAATACTGGGCCAGACAGCAACATCCATGTCACACAAGTGAAAGATAAAGAAATACGGTCCTAATGTTTGATTGATTAATTCTAATGAGACTTTTTAATATCAAGCATTCAGGTGAAATAAAATGTGAGAACCACAAAGTTACCTTTGTACAGAATGATTGAATTATCTGGGAAATAATCATAGCTGTCAGGGAAGAAGATTTTCATGTTAAGGATACATATTCCCTGATAAATATTGTTCAATATTTCCAGCAATAAGTGCATTCTTCATCCACAAATTTAAGATTTTGCCATAAGCAAAAACTTTGGGAATCCACCTCTCTCTGTCCAAACCTAAGTGGATTTAACCAAACAACAAAGACCTAGCAATTGTAGACAGTAAGAAACTAATCTATATTTGATGCACAGACTGTTTTTAGAGGTATTATTGGATTAGATGTTTAGCGTTTGACCTAGAATTGGTTCCTCAAGATGTATTTTCCCCTGTGATGATCGAAGAACAGTGCAGTGTTCCTATCATTACTTTGCTTTGAAATTATCAAACTTAACATCGCCAAGGAACCAGCTTGCCTGGGGGCCTAGCTGGCTATGTGCTAGCATGAAGAACATGTGGGAACCTATCTAACCCACAGTGAAGGCTCTTATGGTGTCTCTAGTCAGGAAGACCAGGTTCAAATCCCAATTGCTCCAGGGCTGTGTAGTAATGTCTCTGAATAGGTTGATTAGGGAAAATATCTGTAGCTTGAAGTGGAATGCAGGAAGGAAATAATGGGTTGTGGTGGACACAGGGTGGGAGTCACTATTGTATCCTGTTAAACCATCGCTGTTTAATGTTATTCCATCTGGGATCAATTCAGTGGGAGAATGGAGCGGATTGTAATCATGGATTCTGAAGGGAAGGGAGGACATGGTGATCTCAATTAAACTTCATTGACCTGAAGCTCAACCCAGGAGACTGACAGACATTCCAGAGTGTGTGGTGATGTCTGTGCATTGATCTTCCACTGACCAGCTCCTTTATTATTGCACAGGTCACCATGTTAAGACCGGCACCTGTGAGGTAGTGGCTTTGCACAGATGCTGCAATAAGAACAAAATCGAGGAGCGCTCCCAGACAGTGAAGTGCTCCTGTTTTCCGGGACAAGTAGCGGGAACAACACGTGCTGCTCCTTCCTGTGTTGATGGTAGGTTTGTTCTCTGTCCTCAGAGATTGACTTTGGCTCTTTTTTTAATGCTTCCCTTGCGTTTTTATCGGAATTTTATTCAATTTCTGTTTTCTTTCGATGTTGGTTTACAATCAGTTGGTTTGAAAGCTATCCCGCTTAACAAGGTACAGTAATTAGTTCAGCAGTGCAAAAGAAACAAAACTGAGTCTAAATGTAACACTCAGAACATTTGCTAAACTATATTTAAAAAGGGAATGCTCCCTCATCTTGAATTTTATGAATGTCCTGATTTTCTAAAATAATCGGGAAGAAAAGTTGCTCAGTCTGTTGAGGAGATAGTGGTGTGGTGACAATGCTGATCTAGTTAGTTGAGGCTCATCCTTGGGGTGTATGGTTTCAAATCCCGCCCACCCAAGACGGAATTTAAATTCAATTCATTTAAAAAATGTCAGTAAAGTGAAAGCTAGTCTCAGTGTGGTGACCATGAATAGCGTTTTCCCTTCTCTGGTGTGGTGGGAGTGATGGTAGGAAAATACAGAGAGAATTTTTTTAAAAATCAGAATCTCAACATCCCAAAAGGTTTTTGGAGTTTTCCCTTCAAGCCTGAAATGGCAACTCCAGAATCTTGCCATTGTGTGTCAACAACCTTAGTTCCCTCTACTTGCTTTTATTTAAAGCTTCAACTCACCTTACTATAACACCACTTCCAAGTGTCTCCCTCCCCAATAAAAAGGGAAAAGCCTTAGTCATAGAACACAAAATGTAGTGGCAGAAGAGAGATAACAAGGGGTAGAGCTGGATGAACATAGCAGGCAAAGCAGATTTCTGAAGAAGGGTCTAGGCCCGAAACGTCAGCTTTCCTGCTCCTCTGATGCTGCTTGGCCTGCTGTGTTCATCCAGCTCTACACCTTGTTATCTCAGATTCTCCAGCATCTGCAGTTCCTGCTATCTCTGTTGTGGCAGAAGGCTGTTTGAGTGATTGCAGGCTAGAGTCCAGCAGTGTACTGCAAGGATCAGTATTGACACCCGTATTGTACGTTATATATATAAATGATATAGATGGAGAAGTGTGTGTGGGGTTTGGAGGGGAGAATGTTAAGCAAGTTTGCAGATGACACCAAGATTGGTAGAGTGGTTAATAGTGAAGAAGATGGTTGTAGGTTGCAGGAGGATATAGATGAGTTTGTCAGATGGGCATAGCAGTGGCAGATGGCATTTAACCCTGATAAGTATGAAGTGATGCACTTTGGAAAAGACAAGATCAGGGAATATTTAATAAATGACAGAACACTGGGTAGCTTAGAGGAACAGAGGCATCTTGGAATAATTATTCACAGATCCCTGAAGTCAGCAGAGCACTTGAATAGGATAATTAAGAAGGCGTATGGGACGCTTACTTTCATCAGTCATGGCATTGAGTACAAGAGCAAGAAGGTAATGTTGGAGTTGTACAGAGAGTTGATTAGGCCACAGCTGGGGTACTGTGTGCAGTTCTGGTCGCCTCACTACAGGAAGGATGTGATTGCACCGGAGGGAGTACAGAGGAGGTTTACCAGCTGTGGCCAGGGTTGGAGATATTGAGCTATAAGGAGAGACTAGTTAGGCTTGGATTGTTTTCTTTAGAGCAGAGAAGGCAGAGGGGGAACATGATTGAGGTGTTAAAGATAATGAGGGGTACGGACAGGATTAATAAAGAACAGCTGTTTCCCTTGGTTGAGGAGTCAATCACGAGAGGGTAGTTTTAGGGTAAGGGACCAGGAGATTAGGAGGGGATTTGAGAAAAAGCTTTTCACTCAGTGAGTGTTGAGAATCTGGAATGCACTGTCTGGAAACCTTACAACCTTTAAAAAATATTTGGATGAGCACTTCACATATCATAACATTCAAGAATATGGGAGAAATGCAGGAAATTGGGATTAGTGCATTTCTAGTGGTAATTATTGTCGGTGCAGACTCGAAGGGCTGAAGGACCTTTCCTGTGCTATTTGACTCTATGACTCCTGAAGAAATGGCAGGGATGTGATGGGCTGGAGATCTCAATGATAAATTAGACAGCACAAATTCCTGAACTGTAAGTCTCAGTGGGTACCTGGGGGCTGTAGTTTGCTGAATACTTGACCCAACTATCATGTTGCTGCTCCTTCACAACAAGGTCCCTGCATTCTCTATGGTCACCATCGTCCTGGACCTTTTATCCACACAAATCAGCATTGGCAAACCATCAGACTCCCAAATCTTCATTCCCGCTGCGTTCTGACTGCCTGCGCCAGACTCCAGGTCCATAGCTGTCCCCCTTCTGCTCTAAGCCCCATTCCCCTCCATACCAGCACTACCAGTCCAACTAGTCTCATTTAGAGTCAGAGAGTCAGACAGCACAGAAACAGGCCCTACGGCCCAACTCATCCATGCTAACCAGGTTTCCTAAACTGAACCAGCCCCATTTGCCAGCGTTTGGCCATATCCTTTCCTACCACGTATCTGTCCAAATGTCTTTTAAATGCTGTAATTGTACCAACCTGTACCACTTCCTCTGGCAGCTCATCAATACATGCACCACCCTCTGTGTGAAAATGTTGCCCCTAAGGTCCCTTTAAAAATCTCCCCCCCCTCCCTCACCTTAAACCTATGCCCTCTAGTTTTGGACTCCCCCACTCCAGGTGAAATAACTCCACAGAGGCTGGTATCCCATCACCAAGTCACTCTTTACTTAAACGTGGGAGAGTCCTTGACACTGACCCAGCTCCCTCGAAGCCAGCTCTCAGAGTGAAGAGGATGAGTGACACTTCAGTTCTTATCTGTCAGCCAGGTCTCCCTGATTGGATCAGATTAACAGCCCCAATCAGGGAGCTCATATTCTATGAGGTCCACCTGGCTGACCTCATTGAAGTCATTACCCTGGGGAAAGGTCCTTGGCTATTCACTCTATCGATGCCCCTTATGATTTTATAAACCTCTCTAAGGTCACACCTTGGCCTCCTATGCTCCAGGAAACAAGTCCCAGCCTATCCGGCCTCTCCTCATAACTCAAACTTTCCAGTCTTGGTAACATCCTTGTACATCTTGTGTTTTTGTGCCAGGGCTGAAGCGTAAAGTTAATTGCTTAGAAAACCATTTTGGAAAATTTTCATGTTTGTCCCATGAGGAGCTACTGTTCCAAATGGTCAGTTAAAAGACAACTGGTTTAGAATTAGGGTTAGAGTTAACCTGAGCCATTTTCTGAATCAGGTAATAGGTGGTAAGAAAGTGGGTGAATGCCAAGATAGGCTGGTTAGAAGCCCTACATACATTCTCTGGGACTTAAACCAATCTGCTTTGGAAATCTTTAGGCCCTCTAGAATGTACTCCTCAACATCTCACCTGGCTTGTGGGGCGTGGGCAGTGTTGGTAGATATAAGATAAACCCCAGACCTGGTATGTTCACCACATACCAGGAGTTGGGGTGGGGTTAAATGTGGTCAGATGTAGACTCAGATAAATGGCTGGATAGGGACTTGGGGAGATGTGGAAACTCTGGGGTTGACAGGGAGGTCTACTGGGAATGTAATGATGATGTTCAGGTGTTCACCTACACAGTGAAGTGCCACCTAGAACTCATGGTCAGAGGATGGGCCTTCTATTGTCCTGTAGAGCAGAAGGGAGCAATGGAAACAAAAATGTCTGACTGGCTGAAATGAGGGGGTGTTAGAGCGGGTGAGAGTGAGTGAGGGAGAATGTGTCATGTGATGGTAGAACATGAACCTCAGTGGGAGGCAGGTGGAGTAACAGAGGGAGGCTGAGCGTGAAGTAGCAGAAGGATGATGGTGGCATTTATCCTGGCACAGCAGAGTGGGTCAGCGTCATTGACCTTCTTGCATCTTTGCCGGACGTTTCACCAGACCATGGAGACCTCACCCATCCTCGATTCAGCCTGGCAGGTTATGGTGTTGTGGCTTTCTCTGATGTTCCTGGGGATAGGCAGCATCCTGTCCATCAGGACACTGACTGAGGCTGCAGTTGGCTATTGGTGGCATTGATTTTCCCTAGCCTGCCATGCCTTCTGGGAGTGTATGCAGCCTTCAGGGGCAGCTTCAAAATGCCATCACTTGTCTGTGAACAGAATGGCATTCTCATGACAGGGGCTGGGGCATCGTTAAAGGAGAGTGAGGTTAGGATGGTAGTCTAAACAGACTCACTGGGTCTCATGGAGAGAAACCCTCCTAGAACCTCAATGAATTACACTTTGTCAAAGTTGGTAACACTCAGCCCATTGTTTTGAACCTAGACCGTATGACCTATGAAGCAGAGCAGTGCAGCAGGCAGCTTATTTAACTCATTAACAGCTTAGGCCTTTTTCTCATGTTTGTCAAGCAGGAGATTTTGAAAAAACTTCAAGGTGTGACATTTAAACAGAGCTTATGTTCCCTTCAAAAGCATTTGCATCTACTCCAAACATTTGTGACTCCCATACTGCAGGTTAAGACCCTTGGAACAGTAAATGTCTGGCCTTTTTGAACTCAGCACAACTCAAATGGTCCTGCTGTGTTCAGGTCTGTAATCTGTGGAAATCAGACTCTATCCCCTTTCCCCACTGGCAAAACAAATTGAATCTGTTGGAACTGGTTCAGGGTGAAATTTCCACCTTCAGGCCTTGCCTGCTATTTTTAATGCCCTGTGAATTTTTTTCTGACTCCATAAAAACCCGACTCCATGCCCACTAGTTCTAGATTTGCGAGACAGGGGAACCAATCAGTAAGCATCTCGCCTGTTAAAGTCATCTTGAAGTTTCATACATTTTGATAAGATCACCTCTCATTCTTCTAAATTCCAGAAATTATAGATCATTCTACTCAAACCCTCCTCATAGGACAGGCCCTTCAAATTCAGGAATCAAACTGGTGCACCATCATTGCATGGCCTACATAGCGAGTAGATTCATCTTTAGATATGGGGCAGCATGGTGGCTCAGTGGTTAGTACTGCTGCCTCACAGTGCCAGGTTCTTGGGTTTGATTCCAGCCTCAGGCAACTGTCTGTGTGGAGTTTGCACTATCTCTCTGTGTCTGCATGGGATTCCCCTGGGTGCTCCATTTGCCTCTCATAGTCCAAAGATGCGCAGGTTGGGTGAATTGGCCATGCAAGATTTTCCATAGTGTCCAGGGATATGCGTGCTAGGTGGATTAGCCCATGGGAAATGCAGGGTTAAAGGGGGAGGGTAGGAAGGTGGGTCTGGGTGGAATGTTCTTCGGCGGGGCAGTGGGGACTCAACGGGCCGAACGGCCTGCTTCCACACTGTAGGGATTCAATGTGAAGAGCAACATTGCCCAGAAATGGGCAGAAAACTGGAAGCAGTGTTCTCCATTGCATCTCAGTTGAATATGCCATTGACTTATGTTTGCCATGCATGGGGAATTTAAGTTAATAAGTTGTTGTTTGATGTTGAACCAGCCTCAATAGTTTTACAGAAATGGTGGTGTCAGATGCAGCCGTGCCTGGAAGGAGAGGAATGTAAAGTCTTGCCAGATCGCACTGGTTGGAGCTGTGCCTCTGGGAATAAAGTAAAAACAACCAAGGTAAGTCAATCATCTGTCCAACCAGAGAATATTTTAATTTCAGAATGTGTCTCGTGTTAAAGAAAAGGTGGCATTTTTGGATTGCCTGCTTTACAGTACAAATGACTTTAACTTGAACTGCATTTATACTGCAGCTGGTGGTTGGAAATTGGTAGGGGTTCCAGCCAGGTAAAACTCCGATTTACATCACCTCGCTGGAACTCCAATTCTCCCTCTCAGGAGAGAGACCTCCTCAGATGCCAGTTCTAACAGCTATCTGAACATTTAAATCAACTCCAGGTAGGTTCACAAAGTTGTCTAAACTGAATTGGGTGGTGCATTGGGTTTGACATCAGCCTTTCACATTTGACCTCTGTGACCTGGATTCAATGGCGGCCCAAACAGATCAGACAAGCGTGTTCTCTGTCTCTTGATGCCGAAATGGGCTCGCGCAGTTTGAATCCTGTGTCTGGAGGGCTTAAAGATTTATTGCTGTTTTATTTTGCTTTGAAGTCGAGTAGGTTGCTCTCCTGGTCTCTGAGACAGCATTCATCACTCAAATAACAACATCTAAAACAGGTTAATTAGGCAGTAACCTCATTGTTGTTTATGTGACCTTGCTGTGTGCAAATTGGCTTCTCCCTAGGCAAGCACCAACAGCGATTACAGTTTGAAACACTTTGAAAATGTCCCAAGTGTGTGAAAGCTGCCAGATACGTACATATAAAGACATGTTATTTCCTCCCCCTTGCTACGTATCAGAAAGATCGATGCCCTAATTTAGCATTCTCGCAGAAGAGCTCATGGAGAAAAGTTGTTCCGGCTGGTGCAGTGCCGTAATGGGTGCTGTGTTGAAGTTGAGCTGAAGAAAGTGGTTTTGAATTGGATAGTGGATACTTTACGCCTGGCTGTCACAATCTGATACCTGAAGTTGGACTGTTGTGCTCGGAGTAAGGAGATTTGAGAGCAGTGTTCAAAATTATGAGGTTGTCAGACACAGTAGGTAGCGCAACTGTTGCCTTGAGTGGAAGGGTCAAGAAACAGAGGACACAGATTTAAAGCAATTGGCAACACGAATTATAGGGAACATAAGGAATTTCATTTGTATGTGGTGAATGGTCAGGAACTGTGGTATTCAGTGGCTGGGAAAGTGGTCAAGGCAGATCCCATAGGACCATAAGATATAGGAGCAAAAGTAGGCCATTTGGCCAATCGAGTCTGCTGCACCATTCAATCACAGCTGATATGTTTCTTGACCTCGTTCTCCTGACCTCTCCCTGTATCCCTTGATCCTCTTACTAACCAAAAACTATCTATCTCTGTCTTAAATACACTCAATGACTTGGCCTCCACAGCTCTCTGCAGCAGTGAGTTCCATAGATCTACCATCCTCTGGCTGAAGAATTTCCTCTTCTAAGTTCTAAAGGGTTATCCCTTCACTCTGAGGCTATGCCCCCAGTTCCAGTCTCTCCTACTAATGAAAACATTTTCTCCATGTCTACCCTATTCTCTTAGTATTCTGTAAATTTCAAACAGATCCCCTCTCTCCCCTCCCTTCCAAACTCCATCGAGTACAGACTCAGAGTCCTCAACTGCTCCTCATTTGACAAACCCTTCATCCCCAGGATCATTCTTGTACACTTCTCTGGACCCCTTCAAGGCCAGCACATCCTTCCTTAGATACAGAGCCCAAAATTCTCAGCCCAGGATTCTCAGCAGTGTGGAGGAACAGATTGCTCTTGGGGTACATGCCCATAGATCCCTCAAAGTCGCCACCCAAGTTGATAGGGTTGTAAAGAAGGCGTACAGTGTGTTGGCTTTCATTGGCAGGGGAGTTGAATTTAAGATCTGCGAGGTTATGCTGCAGCTCTATAAAACTCTGGTTAGATCACACTTGGAATATTATGTTCAGTTCTGGTCACCTCATCATAGGAAGGATGTGGAAGCTTTAGAGAGGGTGCAGAGGAGATTTACCAGGATGCTGCCTGGATTGGAGGGCAGGTCTTATGAGGAAAGGTTGAGGGAGCTAGAGCTTTTTTCATTGGAGCGAAGAAGGATGAGAGGTGACTTGATAAAGGTGTACAAGATGATGAGAAGCATAGATAGAGTGGATAGTCAGGGACTTTTTCCCAGGGTGGAAATGACTATTATGAGGGGGTATAATTTTAAGGTGATTAGAGGAAGGTATAGGGGAGACGTCAGAGATAGGTTCTTCACACAGAGAGTGGTGGGCGTGTGGAATGCGCTGCCAGCAGTGGTAGTGGAGTCAGATACTTTAGAGACTTTTAAGCGACTCTTGGATAGGCACATGGAGGATAGTAAAATGTAGGGTATGCAGGGTTATTTGATCTTAGTAGGATAATAGGTCGGCACAACATCATGGGCCGAAGGGCCTGTACTGTGCTGTACTGTTCTACGTTCTATGTTTTCTTAAAACTGCTCACAATATTCCTAATGCGGTCTGACCAGAGTGTTATACATCCGCAGCGGTACATCCCTGATCTTTTATTCTAGCCCTCTTGAAATGAATGCTAACATTACATTTGCCTTCCTAACTGCCAACTGAACCTGCATGTTAACGTTAAGAGAATCCTGAACTAAGACTCAATCTAGGACTGAACTAGCCTTCAATCATGACTTTAAGGATAAACACCTGAAAAGAAAATGAAAATAGCCGGACAATGGGGAAAGGAGAGGAAAGTGAAGTTGGAATGCTCTTGCAGAGAACTCCTGTGGTCTTGATGGATTGAATCACCTCCTTGTCTTTTCCTTCTTGATTGGATAGACACTGAGCAGCTTTCCTTCCCACTCACACCCTTGCCCTCTGCTGGGGAGCACTGAACAGGGGCACAATCTCAGGATAAGGGGCGATTCATTCGGCACTGAGTTGAAAAGAAATTTTTATCATTCAAAGTGTCATGAATCTTCGTCATTATCTATTGTCAGTGCCGTACCATTGAATATATTTTTGTTTCTCTGTGAGGAAAGCATTATGGGAACAGCCAGTAATAGGAGTTGAGTTAGAGGATTGACCGTGATCATTTTGAATGGCAGAGCAGGCTTGAAGGGCTGAATGATCTATTTCTGTTCCTGTTCCTTATGTTTTTACGTCAAGGTGTCCAGTGATTCTGGATTAGACAAGTTAAGTCTGTGCCAATTTTGCTTCAACGGTTTCCATCCATGATTTGTTGCGAATAGCTTGCTGCTTTGGCGAGGCATGCCTGGCTTTTAAATCATAAATTGCACACGACAATGGCTGTTTAATTTGCGGGTGTAATCTTTGGCTCAGACCGAAGATACTTTCTGATATCCTTTTCACAGAAGGGCACGCACTGCAATCACCTCTTGCGCCCCATCTTGTACAGAGAACACCCGCATCCAGATAGAACAGCTGATGCAGTTTATTTTTGTGTACTGTCTGCTATTCTCACTTGGCTAAATGCTTTACCTCAGCACTGTAACATTCAAAGAGGCTGCTTTTTGTGGTGTTTGACAAATGACCTGCTTCCTCGTGCACTGTCAGCATTGGTCGTCACCTCAGGAATGACTGCATTCTCACCAGTCAGCAGGAATCTACCGTCAGATGCTGTTTTGAGAAAATCAGAGCCCAATGAATGATTCACTACTCGTAGATGTATGTTCGAACAATGCACTTCCTAACCCGGCACCAGAGTTTCTGTAGGTTCCTGTTTAGAGGTACTCAAAAATTATTTTGATATTAACCTTAGGACATCATATTACAGTTGTACAAGACTTTGGTAAGGCCACATTTGGAGTACTGCATACAATTCTGGCCGCCCTGCTACAGGAAAGATGTTATTAAATTGGAAAGGGTGCAAAAAAGATTAACAAGCATGTTACGAAGACTGGAGGGTTTGAGTTATAAGGGGAGGCTGGATAGGCTGGGACTCTTTTCTCTGGAGCTTAGGAGGTTAATAGGTGACCTTATTGACATATATAAAATCACAAGGGGCATAGCTGGGGTGAAAAGCCAAGGTCTTTTTCCTAGGGTGGGGGAGTCCAAAACTAGAGGGCATTGGTTTAAGGTGGGAGGGGAAAGGTTTAAAATGGACTTGAAAGGCAACTTTTTCACGCAGAGGGTGGTGCATGTATGGAACGAGCTGCCAGAGGAAGTGGTAGAGTTGGGTACAAGTACAATATTTAAAAGACATTTAGACAGATGTTTGGATAGGAAAAGTTTTAAGGAAAATGGGCCTAGGGCAGGCAAATAGGACTAATTCAGTTTAGGAAACCTGGTCGGTATGGATGAGTTAGATCAAAGGACCTGTTTCTGTGCTGTATGACTCTATGACTCTGTAACCTGTTCAGCGACACTAGGATGTACCCCTTAGACATGGGGCACTTGAAAAAAAACTGGGACTGTCTGTCCCAGAAACCACTCTGAAGCAAATAATGAAACACAATTAATACACCCTTAAAGCTGAATACTTGCACCACTGCTAATACAGCCTAACTTCCACCTCTATAACATTACCTGACTCTGCTCTGTTTAAGCTCATCTGCTGCTGAAAACCTTCTCATTATTTTGTCACTGCTAGATTTGAGTATTCCAAGGCCTCTGTTCAAGTCCCACCTGCTTCAGAGGTGTGTAATAACATCGCTGAACAAGCTGTTTAGAAAATAATATACTCCTGGCCGACCTCCCATACTTTACCCTTTGTAAATCTGCCATCATGCAGAACTTGGCCGTTCACGTCCTCAATCAAATCGAGTCCCGTTCACCCATGAACATTTTGCTTGCTGGCTTTTACTGGGTGCCAGTAAAGCAATTCATCCAGTATAAAATTTTCATTCTTGCTTACAAACCTCGCTGATGCCTTCTGATGCCAAGGCCCTAAGCTGTAGAATCCCCTCCTTAAACGTGTTGTATAGGGCTCTGGAACCATTGACAGCTGGTAAGTGGGGTAGCTCATTGGCACTGATTTCCTTTCCTTTTCTTTGAAAACCAACTTTAAACAAGGTCGACAGCCCCTTGTGGGGCAGTGCAGTGAAAACAAAATCAAACAGTCAAAAACTGCCTTTAGGTTAAACTGTTCATGCAGTGACAGACTTGTGTAGCACAGGGGATTATGAACCTGGACTCTTCAGCCCAACAGGTAGAAACACTAGCAACAAAAACAGCAATTGCTGGAAGCTCAGCAGGACTGGCTGCATC